CACGAGCGGCAGCCTCACGCGCCTCACGCTTGCGCGTTTTGTTGCGCTTCCAGCCACTTCGCTTGCCGCCCCGCTTGCCGCCCCGTTTCTCGTCGCCACCACGCGCGATCATGGTCGGCTCGCCGTCGGTCTCCACCTGCAACTCGTCCTCGCCTTGGCGTTCGCCCTTTGAGCTCCCGCCGTCCTCCTCCGCCGCGTCTCTCTCCGGGCAGCCGCCCTTTGAACGACCGCCTCCACGGGGGCCCTTTGAGCCCTCGTCAATCTTGACCTCCATTGAGCTTCTCTATTCCGGGTGGGGTAGGCAGCCCGAGACGCTGCAGCAGCTCTGAGGGGCCTCCAGCCAGCTGGTGTCGTGATTGCAACTGCATCCGCTCCGATCCCCCTCTGTGCGGCTGGTGATGGTGCTCCTCCTCAGGCTGCCGCACCTCTCGCCGTGCTCGCTGATGGCCCCGCCCTCGGTCCCAGCGCCCTCTGCCGCACAGGCCGAAGGCCGAGAAGAAGGGGGGGGTCTTGTTCCAGGGCGTCAGGGCGCCCGGCCCGCGCCACCTTGCTTTCCAACCTCTCCTCCAAAGCAGCCCGCGCCTCGGCGTCCATCGCCGCAATCTGCTGTTCCAGCTTCTCGGGGGCGGTGCCGGCAGCCGCTGCTTTCAGCACGGCTGCCCAGGCAGCGCACAGCCGCGGCGCATATACTGCCCCGCGCGCTGGGTCCTCCGCATGCCCCGCAGTCCCAGCCCGAAGCCGGCGCTTCCCAGTTCCCCCTTTACTGCAGCGCTGAGCTGGGGGGTGCCGCTGGGGACGCGCCCTCCACCTTCCAGGTTGGGCGGGGCTTGCGCGCTGATGGTGAAGCGGAGCTCGCCCTCGGGGGTCTTCCCGAAGTAGAGGGCCCACTGGTTCTCAGGCAGAGCGGAGTAGTGCCGCTTGGTGCGGAAGTCGATCCTCGCCCAGTGGAAATTGTCCGGGGCGGCCCGCGCGATGAGCTGGTTCACGCGGAGCAGCTTGTCGTCCGGGGGCAGTTTGACGGTGGCGCCGTCTTCGTCAAGGCCGTAGCACCCGCTAGCCTCACCCAACCTGGTGCTGAGGTTGATCAGCTCGCTTGCCTCGGTCTTGCTGAGCCGCATGCGCGTGTCGAGGTTGTAGGCTTCCACTTGTGCGTCCGTCAGGTCGCATGGTAAGCCGCCCTCCAACGTGCGGTGCGCGTGCTTGCCCGTGCACCTCCTGGCCAGGATCAGGGCGTAGGGATAGAGCCCGAGCGATGCCAGCCACCAGGTTCGCTTCTGATACCGATGCTGGGGCTCGTCCAGAGGTGCGAGTCCCCACTCACACATGTCTATGGCGAGGACTCGGGCTCCAGTCGCGTGCACCAGAGCTCTCATGCAGGGGCGATCCCAAAGCTTGGGGTACCGGCCATCCCGCGCGGAGGACTCGATGAGGAACTCACGTCCTGCCTCGTAGCCCCGCTTCGCCCCCATGCACGCGAACTCCCCGAACACGTTGCCGTCGATCTCGACTTGGCGCTCTCCAGTCCCATCCGGGCACTCGAAGGTTCTCGTCCCTCCTGCTGCCAACTGCCAGGGGCAATGGCTCACGCAGGGTGGAGCGAACTGTAGCACGTTGGCCTCGTCGGGGCCCGGAAGCGCACTGAACTCTTGATACAGGCGCTCGCGCACCAGCGGGTCGCGGATGTCGAACTGCGGCCTGGGGTCTTTGCCAAGCAGAGGCTGCCCAAAGTATTCGACGGACTCGCTGGTGGCGATGCCCGCGTTCTTCATGGCCTGTGTCCAGCGCCCTGTGCCGGCGAAAATCTCCCGTGTTCTGAGCCCCCACGCGAACGTGGGTCGCGAGCGCAAAGGCTCCAAGTCCCTGAAGTCCAGGCAGGCCACCTCGGTGGGAAGCTCGACCACGGCGGGTGCACCGCCGGCGGCTCTCCCACGTTGCTGTTGCTGCGCGGCGAGTGCCCTGCAGTGCTGGCACGGTGGAGGTTTGCTGGCCACCACTGGGCTGCCATCCTCCTCGGAGGCAAGGTATGTTTCCCAGCCCATGGTGAGGAGCTCCTTGAGGTCCTTCCCGCTCGCGGCCCAGGTGCGGATCAGCTCGTCTGCCACTCGCCGACCCTCAGCGCCGGACGGGGGATGAAGAACACGCATATGCCCGCGATGGATGATCACGTGGCACTTCTGCTTGGGTTCTCCCGCTGGGAGGACTGTGTCAATATCCAAATGACGCCGATGATCCGCCCGCCATACTTTGAGTACCACCTCCTCCCGCACCTGAACCCTTTGTCGTGGTCGCGATGCACCGCATCATGGATGTGCATCCGGACCTCGGCCTCCCTGGAAAATATCGAAGGTGGGGCGTCGGCAAGGCCCGCAGCAGCGTCGGTAGCCTTCTCCAGGAGGTCTCTGCGGATCCCAAGGGCCAGGTCCTTGACTTGCTGGGCGTCGGGTGGTGCTTCGAGCTGCACCCAGAGCTTGGCCGCCGCCAGGTGGAGTGGGAGGCACTGACGCTCCTCCGAAACTCCGGCGGGCACGTGCAGACGCTTCGCGACGCACTCGTCGAGGGGCAGCTGGTCCTGATAGTCAAGGTAGTGCCGAGTCTGGCCCTGCACCGTGACGGAGCCCTGCCCCACCGACTTCTCAGCATTCCACCGCACTGGTGTTATGATGGCGTCTGGGTCAGCCCCCAGGTTGCCAGCCTTCGCCCCGATGCGGTCCAGGAGCTCGCTAGCCTCGGCAGCCAGGGCGGGCCCGCCGTGGCGCGTCGCCTCAAGGAGTACCTGTTCGACTGAGAGCTCCTCCTCGCGCCCGCGGGCGCAGGCAAGGCGAGCCAGGACATGCGACCGCATGTAGTCGCTGGCGTGGCTCACGGAGTCGAGCACCCCGCTCTCTTGGACGGCCTCGAGCAGCTTTCGCTGGGCCAAGGCTCCCTCGTCTGCGCAGACACTCGTCCCAACCAGGGCTGGGCTGTCGGCGCGCGGGTCCTCCAACCAGGTAGCGTCGGGTCCCTGGGCGGCCTCGCGGAGCTCCGACTCGAGCTCGGTGCACTGAACCTCGGCGCCCAGCCTGTCTTGGTCGGCTGGCTCTCCGCCGCCCCCGCACCTGCAGCCCGTTTGCCGTCAGCTTCGGTCTTAGCTTGGGCCCGCAGCTGCGCGATCCGCCCATTGACCGAAGCTGGGTCGATCTTGGCGGCGTTGCGGAGCCCGCCTCGCCTGAGCAGCTGACACTGCACGGTCCAGTGCACGTCCTTCAGGCCCTTGATGAGCTCATGTGAATGCGAGCACCCTTGAGCGCCCTTCTTGCAGCATATCCAGGTCGAGTTGTCCCAGCAGAGCGGCTTGCCCTGCTTGTCGCAGGGCGCGTGCCGGACAAAGAGCTTGATCTCCTGTGCGTTCAGCCGCTTGCCCGCAGGGTAGGCGGCACGCGTGGAGTTGGCCTTCGGCTGGGCCTTGGCCTTGGGCTTCTTCTTGGGGGCGGCTCCTGCTCGTTGTAACTGTGGATCCGCAGCTGGTTCGTCTCTCTCTCTCTCTCTCTCTCTCTCTCTCTCTCTCTCTCTCTCTCTCTCTCTCTCTCTCTCTCTCTCTCTCTCTCTCTCTCCTCCGACCTCTCCGGCTTTGCCCGGGGCGCCGCGCACCCCGTGCATCGAGTCGTTGAGGACGGTCTGGAGGTAGCGCTGCTGCCGAGGACGCACGACTTCCTGGTAATAGCCCGCGGGGGACTCGAGGTCGAAGACATTGGGGAAGACGAACGCCGGGCGCCCGTCCGCCCTGGGAGCGAAAGCCACCATCTTGAGATCCTCCTTCCTGGGGTTGTCTGTCTGCAACACGCGTAGGAGGCCTCGCTTCTGCTCTCGAAGTCGTTCACACCAGGTCGCCCACAGCTCCTCCCACAGCTCATAGACGAACTTGGGCGGGAAAGCGTGGTCGTCCTTCTCGCACTCCCGCGCGAGGGCCTCCAGGCAGTCCAGGCGCTCTTTGATATGCTCTCGTCCGAAGACGAGCCCGAAGAACTTGGTCATGTTCTGGGCCTGCCGCTTCCACGGGTCAAAGACCACGGGGGCCCTGGGCCTGGGTTCAAGCTTAGTGTCATGCGGTGCGCTGTGCTTGTCGAACGCGACCGTCTTGCACGTCGGGAAGTCCGCCACGGAGGCCGACCACGGAGCCAAGTTGTCCAGGCTGCTGCCGCCGAAGCTGAGCGAGGCGCAGGCCATCGCGATCCGGTTGGACACTGTCGTGGGCGTCTCGACGGCGAGCATCAAGGCCTTGTTCTGCTCACGGGTCCGGCGCAGAGCATAGAACAGCTCGCGCCCAAGGACCTCGTCGCAGACCTCCACTGTCAGCTGGCCGCATCCGCGCGCCAAGTAGACGTCCAACTCCTCCGCTCTCCCCAGTGCAGCCACCGTCCCTCGCTGGGCTGCCTTGTCACCCTGGCGGGCACTGGCGACCCCTTCCAAGGAGTGGAGCATCCGCGCGGTGTTCGCGTCCAGGGGTGCTCCGGGGTGTGCGAGGCCGAACGGGTCGCTGCCTCCGCCCTCCTCCGGGGCTCCTGCGGCATAGCGCGCTGGAGCTGCGGTCAGACCTGGGGGTAGGCCCAAGTCGCTGATGTGCTGGTCGTAGCGGAACAGGGCCCCGATGTTCGGAGCCTGTGGGCGGACGACCGGGGCCAGCCCAGCCGCGGTAGCTGGGGGGCCGGCGTCCCGCGGCCCGAAGGCGAAAGCTGGCGTGGCTGCTGCTGGCGAGGGAGGCGGCCGCGCTTCGAACAGGGGCGCGCTGTCGGCCTGGATGGCCGGCGGCCCCTGCGAGCGGTGGCGCTCGGGCGGGAGCCTGAGGAGACCCTGAAGGCTGCTCGGCGCCGCCTCTGGGGTCTGGGGTCGTGAGGGCACCTGCTGGAGTGCCTCCCAACTACCGATGTGCCCATCGAGCCGCGCGAGCTCCTCTGGCTCGGTCGTCTGCTGCTTGAGCTCAAGTGCTGGGCGTAGCGGACAAGGCTAGCGAGCACTTGCTGGGCCTCCTCGTCGAAGCCGGCGGCCACACTCTGCACCGCCGCCGCGTCGCTCGACCCGCGAGCCTTCTCCTCCAAGTAGCATGCCATCATGTCCCCGCCGTCGCCCCCTTGATGGCTCTCTCCTGATACTGGTGCCTCAGAGCTCGCTGCCCGCCCGCCCTCGGCGGACGGGGAGCGCGAGCCACGGCGCGTGGACCCAGCTGGTGGCCTGGGCGAGCTGCTGCGGTCAAGCCGCTGCCAGTGGCTGCGCAACTTAGCGTCCGCCTCTGTAGCTCTCGCTTCGAAGCTCGGGCTGGGCGCCACGCCTCCCTCGGGGTGCCACCTGACCAAGCTGGCCACCTTCTCGCGGAGCAGCCGCCAGCGAGCCTCGCTGAGCGGCCCGGCTCGTCCGCCCACGGGGAGCCCGTGCCACGCCGCCAGCTTATGCCAGACTTTCTCGGGTACGTTGGTCGCCGAGACGCTGATGCCGAGCTCCTCGCAGCCCAGGGGCGCGTGGTGGAGCATCTCCTCGATGAACCCCGCTGGCAGACGCCCTGAGGGCCCTGGGGCAGGCGCGCGGATGACGCCGTCAGGCTTCACGAGAAAACGGATGGTTGCGCCAGTCGGGTCCTCCACCTCGAGAGCCATTGCGCCGTCGAGGTAGTCAGCCACTGCGCTGGCCGCGGCGGCGTCGGCCGCCCTCCCTCTGAAAATCATCCACTGCGCTCCTTCTGGCCACTGCACCCTCGCCCGAACGATGAAAGGTCGCCCGACGGGCATGGGCGGCGGCGTGGGCGGCTTGGGGAACTCCGGAACCGGCGGCGCCTCGAAGCGCGCGCTCGGTGGCCCAGCCGGCGCGGGGACAGGGTCGCCCGGGCTGGCGGGCGCCTCTGGAGCAGAGACCGCCGGAGTGGAGCGCTCTGGTGTGCGACTCCGGGCTGGTGCCGCGGCGGCACGCTCAGGCGTGCGGCTCCGCGGAGTAAGGCTCCTCCGGGCTCGACGCCGCAGGCCCGCGAGGAACCCGGCGCCCGTCGGGTTGTCGTAGAGCGCTTTGGCGGCGTCGCCTCCGACGTGCTGCATGCAGAGGGGGGCCCCCGAGGCCATGCCCACCGCCTCGCGGAAGCACGTCACCTGGGAGCACTTCTCGCCATAGCGCAGGACCATGTAGATCTGCCTGTGATGCTCGCAAAGGCAGGCTGTCGCGTTCCCCTCGCTGGGAAGTGCGAGGTCCGAAGCTCGGCCATCCTCCACCAACAGCACGGTCGGATCGCCGCGCGCGGCGTCTCGACAGCCCTCGGGCGCCAGCGGGCGCATCTTGCCCTTGATCATGAGCCCCACCTTCACCGCCTCGCAGGGGTTATCCTCGGCGTCTACCTCGGACTCGGACTCCTGGTCAAGCAACCTTGCCGCAGATCCTGTGACGGCGGCGTCGCCGGCGGCAGATACGCGCCCCGCAGCACGAAAGCCATGAGAGGACGTACAGCAGCAGCTTGTAGACGAGGCCCAACCACCTACAAAGCCAGACGAAGATCCGGCAAGGCGTGAACTTTGAATAGTCGCCGAGGTCCACGATAGCTTTGTTGTCGAGGGCGGCATACTCCTTGCAGTGCAGCTCGTTCTCGCGCCCCTTGCGTCAAGTACAGCTTGGTGGAGCGACACAGGTGGAGCCAGCGCAGATCGCGCTGCTCGAGCTCGCGCCTGAAGCCCTTGTCGCTCGCGCCCTTCACGGAATCATACTCAACCCACAATCCCTGGCGATTGATGCGCACCGGGGACTTCATGTTGAGCTTGAGTCGCGCGACCGGGTAGTGGACCCTGATCAGGAGGTCGTTCCGGCCGCGCTTGGAGCCCCTGCCCTCCTTGATGCTCTTGCGGTACCAGTCGGTCGTCGGGTCTGCACCCACGGCCGGGCCGTGCCACACCACGTCGGCGAGGGGCGGCGCCGCCGGCGGGACCAGCTTTTCAAGCTTAGCCTCGCCAGGCGTCTTGCGCCTCGGGCAGGGGCAGCACGCCAGCACCAGGCCGCATGTCCAGGCTGCCCAGCTGCAGGGTGCGAAGAGCGTCCTCAGGCTGTGGGCCAGGAGCGCGACCACGCCGGCGCCGAAGAGGATCGCCATGAGCCCGGCAATCAACGGCCACGCGGAGCCGAACAGGTAGAGGCCCACCTGGTCGGCCATGCACAGCACCCAGCCGCCGTCGGAGCTCAGCCAACCTCCTGTCTCGCGAGTCGAGAAGGCCGACCTGAAGCTTCCCACAGCCCTGAAGGTGCCCCCGCCCATCCCCTCGGCAAACCAGTGCGTGCGGTTGCCGATGTCTTTCCAGCTGATGCCGAAAAGACCCCAACCCCTGATCCAGGACGATGGGCCCCCGTCGGAGGGGTCGGGGGGGGTGTGGGTCGGGCCCTGGGGGGGTGGGTCGGCTGGCGGCGCAGAGCGCTCGCGCGGCGGCCCCCCTCCAGCGCTCCCCGCTGGAGCGGCACGCCCGCTGGCGGAGTGAACCCCGACCGGCAGCGCGTCCACGTGCGCGGAGGAGTCCATGGGCCCGTCGAGCCAGAACCCCTTCATGTCCACGCTCGCCTCGTCGTCGTAATAGACCTCGAGGTCGGGGGCCGCCTGCCCGCGCGCGAGCTCGGCGCTGGCCGCCTCCACCACCCCCACGAGGATGACGAGTGGAGCTGCGGCCCAGCCAAGGCGCCTGCCGGCGAGCGGCGGCGCCGGGGCCCCGGGGCAGCTCCTCCAGGCGGGCCCCGGCGCGCGCGCGCTTCGCCGCCCTCGCCTGGTCCTGAGCGGGCGCCGGCGCTGATGTGCGCCCGGCCGCGCGCTCGGCGGCGGCGAGCAGCGGCCATGCCGCGGCGGCCGCCCCTCCGCCCCCGGGGGCTCCGCGGCTGGCGTGAGCCGGCGCCGCTCGGCACCCGGGCTCTCCGCCGCTGCGCAGCTGCGCGCCCTCGGGCAGCAGCGCCGCCGCCCCCCAGCCGCGCGGCGCCAGGCGCGGCCCCATGCGGCCGCGGGCGCCCCCCTTCGGTCCCGGCCCCGGTCCCGAAGGTCTTCCGGCCCCGGTCCCGGGGCCCGGCCTTAGGCCACCTGGGGCCGACCCCCAGCTTGGCCTTTGAAAAGGCTCGAGCCGCCAAGCGGCGGTGAAGAGAGAGGGAGCGAGAAAGGGCAAGCAAAGAGGCATGGGCAGGAGCAAGGGAACCGCAAGTGGAAGCCCGCGCCAGTTCTGGAAGCGGGGAAATCCATCAGTTTTACAAAACATCCTTAACGCCTTGGGCCAGCCGCGCGGCCATCTTCCTATGCGAAACTGCGCGCGCTCACAGTTGTTCCAAACGATGTGGACATGCCGAGATCGCCCTGGGCAGGTGGGTCCAGCAAGCTGCCGCGGGGTCTCGGATGAGTGAGAGACCGCGCGAGGTCTTCTGAGATGCCCTGCCGCGCTGGTCGCGCAGCCCGGGCTGGCACTGGACAAACAACGCAGCTAACAGACGGCGTTGGCCCGCCGGCCTCGGGGGAAAACGCGGCGCGAACAACGCGGCCGCCCAGCAAAACCGCGACGCCGCGCAAGCCGACCTCCAAAGAGCAAGCTCGCGTAGAGAACAATGGCCTGGAAGAGAAGACAGCAATAACTACCCCCGGCGATCATGGCAGGGAAGCGCCGCGCCCAAGAAAGAAACAAAGAGCGCGGGGAGGGGGCAGAAGCCCAAAACGCATCGCCCCCTGGCCTTGCGAACTGTAACGCGACAGCTCCGCGTTGAAAGGCTTGGGCCGCCCGGGCAATGCACTCGCCGCGGCAGGAGGAGGGAAGGGAGGGAAAAGAAAAACAACCAAACTCGCGAATGCGCAGACCAGCCAAGGCATGGCCCGGGGCCGGCGCACATCTGCCCCACGCGAGCGAAAACTGACGAGAAAGAAAATGGGTAGAGACAAAGAAAGAGCGAAGATTCCGCGCGTGCGCCCACGGGCCAGTGGCCGGCGCGCGCGCAGTGTCCCACGCGAGCGCTCCTAGAGGGCGGGGGCAATGAGACCAGTAAAACATGTCGATGGCTTCGGCAAGGCATGCGTTGCGAAACTTGCGCGAACCCTGCCGCGCAGCCCAGAGGTGCGTTAAGCTTAAAATGTACGGTGCAACTTAAAATTTACGATGACGCTTAAATTTTAAGATGAAGCTTAAGATTTAGGATGTTTTTTTTTTTTTTTTTTTTTTTTTTCACAATTTAAGACTTTGATAAAATTTAAGATGAAAATGCATGCGCATTTTTGCCAAGTTGCAATGCACTGATAAAAGCACATCCGTGTCAGTGCACAACGCTCACCATTGTTTACAAAATCCAAAAGATCTGTTGTATGTTCACACAGTCGTTGTCGCACGCGTGCGCCTGCATAACAGCGGAGGCGCATTCGACTGCGCGGCGCCATGCGCGGCGCGGAAACATACATTTGTTTGTTCAAGGACATCGTTTTTGTCCATGTGCGCAAGTTCGTCAGCATTTCGGGCCGCAGTTGGGGAAATGTGATGTCCGCCCGTCGCGGTAAATTTGTCATTCCGCACGGGCTCGTGAGATTCTCTCGTTTTTTTTCCGCTGGTCGTCCAGCGCGCGGTGTGGAATGCGGCGGCGCACGCAGTGCCATCGCGGGTCCACGATGCTTCTGTAGTGGCGCCGATCACCAGTGAACAACAACAGTTTCGCGAGCGAGGCTTTTCGTGAGTGTTGCGCGCGTCGTTTGCAAGCGCGGCGTCAGTTCGCGTGGGCGGCGCGTGCTTTTCCGTGGGGGTCGCGCACGCGTTCGCAAGCGGGGTGGTGGTGCATTGTCGTAAGGGCGGGGTGGGTGGGCGGGAGGTCGTGTACGCTTTCGGCAGAGAGGGGCGTACGCGCGTGCGCGTTTTCGTGGGGGCGGGACGGGGGTGCACGTTTTCGTAGGCGGGAGAGGGGTATACGGTTTCTTGGCTGGCGTGTACGTTTTCGCAGTGTGTGTATGTGTGTATGTGTACGTGTTCGTGGGTGTTGCGTACGTTTTCGTTGGGCTGGTGTACGTTTTCGCGGGGCTGGTGTACGTGTTCGTGGGGCGGTTGTGCGTTTTCGTGGGGCTGGTGTACGTTTTCGTGGGGCTGGTGTACGTTTTCGTGGGGCTGGAGTATGTTTTCGTGGGGCTGCTGTACGTTTTCGCGGGGCTGGTGTACGTTTTCGTAGGGTTGGTGTGCGTTTTCGTGGGGCTGGTGTACGTTTTCGTGGGGTTGGTGTACGTTTTCATGGGGCTGGTGTACGTTTTCGTGGGGCTGGTGTACGTTTTCGTGGGGCTGGTGTACGTTTTCGTTGGGCTGGTGTACGTATTCGTGGTGTGTGTGTGTGTGTGCGTGTGTGTGTGTGCGTGTGTGTGTGTGTGTGTGCGTGCGTGCGTGCGTGCGTGCGTGCGTGCGTGCGTGCGTGTGTGTGTGTGTGTGTGTGTGTGCGTGTGTGTGCGTGTATGTGTGTGTGTGTGTGTGCGTGCGTGCGTGCGTGCGTGCGTGCGTGCGCGTGTGTGCGCGTGCGTTTTCGCGGGCGCCGCGGGCGCGTGCGTTGCGATATTGGTGTTGCGAGCGCTTTCGTGGTCGCCGTGGGCATGATTGTTTGTGGGCGCCACGCGTAGTTGTTGCTTGATGTTCTTCGCGTTTTTTTTTTTTTTTTTTTTTTTTTTTTTTTTTTTTTTTTTTTTTTTTTTTTTTTTTTTTTTGTTTTTTCAATTTGCACGCTCTCACTGTTTTTTTTGTTTGCGGATCGTTTGCCCAAAGGGTCAGCGGAAAACGCGCCAGCGTGCAAGATGCCGACGGATCATCCAAAAAAGCACGCTCGCTTTGGCAACAGCACGGGTGGGGAAGTCAACAACGACGATGCGGTGCCCGATCGGCGCCGGCGCCGACGTCAACGATGGCGGCACGGATTGAACCTTGCGCCCTCGAGTCGCTTGCATGTTCCTGGAAGTTTCCAGACCTCAGGAACCTAGGACCAAACGCACAGCATTTCCAGACGCGGCCCAGGGCCCGACCTCGTCCCGGATCGGTCCAGGGAGAAACCGCCAGAATCAAGATCGAGGGCCCAACATCGTTTCCACGTCCTCCTCTTATCGTGCTCCTCTCCTCGTGTCTCCCCCTCCTCTTCCTGTTCCTCATCCTCCTCCCCCCGCTCCTCTTACTCCTCATCTTCCCCCGCCTCATGCTCATGTGCCTCATCATATTGCTCATTAGTTTCGTTGTGGTCTCATCCTCCCGTTCCGCCACCGCCGCCGCCTACCTTTTTCAGTTTCGCCATGCGTCCTCAGTCCAGGTTCTATCCCTACTCAGCCGCCCTGCCGTTCTCACACATTGTTTCGTCAAAGTGGTTACATATGTAGCGTGATCGTTTCGTTTACCCTTTGACTTCATTGACCTATGCATTGCCCTCGAGCGGTCCCCAGGCCCCGACTATCTGCAGATGCTCGTTCGCCCTGCATGTCCATCGACATATGTTCGCACTGCCCTCGTCGTCGTCCCCCTTCGTGCCACATCTTAGATGCTAAGCTCATGTGCTCACTTCATCCTCGAATTCTCTCCGAACATCTGTGCGTTGCAAGGTCCAGGGCAGACACGGGGCGCAGCGCGCGAATACTCAAAAAAGTCACCTGCATATGAACATCGACGCTAACGCCAAGCACGCCTACCCATTGCTTCAATCAGAGCCACTCCGATCCAGAAACGGTTCCATGACTACTTCAGCCATCATGTGGCAAATTTTTCTGGGGAAATGATGCTTGACGATCGTCTTAGTGCCTTTCGGAGTGGATCTGGACTGATGTTTCGGTTTCACTCTCGGCGGGGCGTTGCAGATCTTGGAAAGGTCGCACTCGGAATTGTGCAGGATCCACATGATTTGTTTGTTTTCGCCCCCCCAATCGGACATGCATGCGTTAGATACCATCAACACTTTATCTTGGTACAGCTTGTTCAGTGACGGCCACGTAAACATAAGACTGGCACTCGGCATAGTGAAAATCACAGTGACGTTCCTGGACACCGCCAGCTCGATCAGACGAACAATCGTATCCATAGATCGGTTCGCATCTCGGACGTCCTCGCGCGTCTGGTCACCAGTAATCCCGTAGTGTGGGTCCTTTCGTTTCATGTATTTCTGCGCGATGTGTGTCCACGTCTCGCTCCTAGGGTCTACGAGGAGCGCCCTCTCCGGCATCGAACTTAAGACCAAGAGCGTTGCCCACGTAATTCCAAGTGTATGCGATATCGATTCCTTAGTGTCCCGCGTGAAACGGTCGAACTCCGCGGGGTTACCGTTGAAGCCCTTCCTCGCCCAGTAGCTGGTCTCCCCCCATCCGCTGCACAGCTCGACCAAGTGAACGTTTCGTGGAACAGCATCTGCGTACTCGCGGGGGGGAAGAACGGGACAGGCAGAGAGAGCGAGAGAGAGAGAGAGAGAGAGAGAGAGAGAGAGAGAGAGAGAGAGAGAGAGAGAGAGAGAGAGAGAGAGAGCGAACGAGAGAGGGGGGGTGACGGAGGGCGGGCGGGATAAAGGGACGGGGGGAGGACGGGAGGGCGGGAGGAAGAGGGAACAACGATGGAGAGGGTGAAGGCGGCGGGATCGACAGGGCACACGCGGGGGAGATTTCGGGGAAGGCGATGGGGGCGGGGACGAACGAAGCGACGAATCAGGCAAGTTGGAGGGATAGGGCAGCAGT